TTGAGTTGATCGCCACCCTGGCAGGCTGTGTAGTCGTTTTTGAAGTAGGCTTAACATATCACGTTGAAAAGGCATAAATTGAATTGAACAGCGCTGTCGTCTTTAATGTTTGTATTAAGAGTACTCGGCTGGGGAAAATAGGTCTTTTCTATAAATATTATAAGTTATTTAATATGTTACTTAAAACGCTATTGATTAAAGAATTAAGCTATTAAAATTTAGCTTAATAAAATTAGAATACAAGTATTTTAAAAGCTTTAAAAAGCTTTATTTTAAAATATTTTAGCGTTGCCGATAAACAGGCCTTCCTCCATTAAAAGATGCGTCTGGCTTTCCTAGCCTCGGCTTGTCGGAGCAAAGCAACCCGGCATATCCTGCGGCAATTGAAGGGTCTTTTTGGCTTTTCCCCAGTAAAACACTATATCTGCAGTCAGTACTCGCCTTTTTTGTACAAAAACATCTCAGCGCCTTCCAACAGCGATTTTAAGTAGCTTACCTTGCACCTTGACCTCAATACTTTTGGAAATGGTTTTGTTTCCACCCTATCCACCTCGGCTTGGAATTTCGAACAATGGTCTTCCAACCTGTCATAAAGATCCTCATTCTCCGGAGGATTGTCTTCAAGCTCGGAACAAGAATTCAAGAGGCCGCTGACGGCTAATTCCCACATTCGCTCTGCATATTCAGACGTCCCATGAAGCGCCGCACAATACCCCTTCGTCCACTCCCAAACCGCTAGATGACCACCGGAATATACGTTGATACCTTTACACATCTCAATCATTCTATCAAGCTTTCCCGATTTAAAGTCGTTCCGTAGCTTGTCTGCATACTTCTCGCTTGAAGGTTGGCATATATTATTCGGTCGTCCAGCAATGATTTCCTTCGCCTCCCCTCCCTTTAATGCGCATATCAACTGTGCTTTTAGGTCATTGCCGTCAATATCATCCCGTTGGGGACCTCCGATTAGCTCTTGGAGGGAGCCTATCTTATCATCAAGCCAGGTTACTGCCGCCCCAATAGGGTTATCCCATTGCTTGATGGCTTCGAGCAACCTTCTCGCATACGGGGTCAGCAGAGTAATAGCAGCTGCCTTGCCTACTGCCCTGGTCACCCGAATTTTGCTCGCCTTGAAAGGCTTTGCCGAATAATTTGTGGCATCGCAGATGGCTCGTTTCTTGGTGGAGCATGGAGGGAATGACTTTAAGGAGTAGTCGTTATTCCTGATCTTGTTAGACTTGCTCCATGGCTTTTCCCGCGTTACTTCATATGCGTGGGAGATGCTCGATGGTGGAACGGGACCATCCACGGCGAATTCCTGATTGGCACCGACTGCGGGATTTTTATTAGGCCGGTAGATTTCAGGAACCCAATATCCGTTGGGCATATTCTTGGGCACCATGACATAAATGTAGCCCCTTTGGTTGTTTTTCGCCGACCGGCCAAAGGCATAGCTCTCAGCAGACTTGCGGGACCGAGAAACTGAGACAAGCCCCGAGCCGCCAACAAAGCTGAGATGGTTCCGCAGGCTCCTATCTGTGCCTTGTGGCGCGAAACCCGTCTTGAAGATTTCAGCGGGGGGTCGTGAATCTCCCCGATAGAAAACGCCCGATTTGCCACCTCCAGGGACACTTTTTGTGGAAGCTTCTTGGGCAGAAATCTTTGGTGGGTTTGTGGGCTGACGCTTAATGATATCTCGGGATAAGGCTGCACCGTGTTTAGTCGCCAGAGTACTATGGTCTGGAATAATGTGAGGAAAAGCAGTATTTCCGCTAACTGCTAGACTGGCATTATGGCTGGCAATGGCGGCGTCGGACTCTGGCAAAGAAGACAAGAGATTGGGCGCCTGTGAAGCCGCAGTAACTCGTTCCCATGCAAACAGGGCAAGGAGCCGGTAGGCCTTCATGCTTGCTTTATGGTGATTCAAATGCAATATACGAAAAGAGTAAAAACAAGCTTGTTGACTGCCTCCTAGAAATGAATGTTGATAAACCGCCAATTACGGAAACGCAATATATTTTATATCTTTCAAGTCCGGTTCATTACCCTACATATGTAGGAACCCAGACATCCCGCCCGGCTGAATCTAGCCAAGGCGTCAATGCAACCGAGGGGCAAACCATCGGCCTCGGCGGCAGCCGAAATGAAGACAGAAGCTGAAAATGAGTGGCTTCATTATATGGCACGAGTCGAATGTTGAGACAGTGTGGCCACTAGCTGACTCGAAAATCGATATGTTATAGATAGCCATGGGTGCACGATGCATTTTACACTTGAATTCATCATCTTCCGAGTCAGTCACTAAAAGCGAAACTCCTTGTAGGGATCGTTTATTGGATCGAATTGACCATACGAGAGTGGCTCGCGAGTTTGACCAAAGACCCTACCACTCTTAAACCTTATCAGCCCCTAACCCTGATATAATAATTAAAAAGAAACCCCTCTTGTCTACAATGCAGGGACCTCATTGTCTTAAATGCTCTGATATCGGTGCCCTTGCCTGCTTGCACTCGCCATGCCTGCATATTCGGAATAAAACAGGTTGAAACAAGCAGTCCATCTTTGCCAGTCGCTCTCGGCATCGGATATGAATTGGAAAACTGGACGTCAGACGAAGTCAACAAATCTCTAATTGCCAGCGCGAGCGTCAAAAATCCACGTCACGTGAAATTCTCTACTCGCCCCAGGGCGAAAACCCTCCGAGCGTTTATTGGCTGAAAATAAAAGTTCCATCACGTGCTAACGTGTGAGGAGCGTGTCTTGAGCCCCCTCCTAGTCACTTAAAACGCGTCTTACACCTCTTCGTGTGTCTACCTGACCTGCCCTGCTTCGAGGATGCTGGGATAATCGTGGATCTAGGCGTGACTTTCGTATGGGACGATGCGTGAGTGGTCAAATAGCAAAGACACCCAATATAATCACACCATCACTCTTGGTCACCTTTACCCTTAGATTGCGAGGCCTAGGCAATCCATCCACTCGACAGGCGTTTCTTCTGCGGCGGCAGCGTTCTTGGCGCCTTGATCGGCGAGAGCATTCCAATCACGCGGGATCTTCCAGAATTGGATGGCCTGGCCTCGGCGATGGGCCTTCTCGCACTCCCCCAAGAGCATCTCCCACAAGTCCTTGTTCTTGACGTTGGCGCCGCCATTTCCCTTGATACCTTTCGTCCTCCAATTGTTCTGCACCCAAGTCTTGGCCCACCGTGTCGAGCCCTCCACAACGTACTCGGAGTCGGTGGCGATGACGACTGTGCTGAAGCCCTCGCCCGGCCAGTGCCGGAAACGCAGGGCGGCGATGACGGCCCGCAGCTCGGCCCGGTTGCTGCTCTGGATGCCCTCATCACCCCAAGGACCCTGCCTTTCCAGACGATGCGAGACTACGAGCGGTTGGCCTTCGGTATTCAGCCCCTGGAAAAATGCCCAACCCGCCTTCGGATTGGCTTGGCCGTTGTTGAGGCATGCCCCGTCGGTCATGATGAGGAGCATGGACTTGTCGCTGGGGTGGGTGCATCTGAGAGAGACCACGGACCGTCGGTTAGCCAAGCACGACAAAGTATGCCACCAAGAAGAAAAAGCGTCATACCTAACGATATCCATGAAACGAAATCTGCCGCGAAACAGCTCCATCGGTCGCAGAGGGCTAACGGCATGTCTAAACTTGGAGGGGAACACCAGACCAGTGCCTCTCACCACATCAGATGCTAGGGAAGGGACGCGGATGGCGGATGGCGCCGCAACAGGAGCCGAATCGTCGTGCTCATCGCCTTCCTCGTCGTCCTCGGAGACTTGGCCGTCTTCGCCGAGGACGTCGTCCATAAAGCTGTAGTCGCTGCAACATCGATAACATAGCACCAATCCGTGAGGTCCACAGACAACTCGACCGTTTGGCAGCGTACACGGGCCTTCTTCGTCGTCGCTGCTGTGGTCGCCGAGTGGGATCAGGCCCTGGCCGAGGTAATAGCCGCGAGGCATTGTGGATGCCTGTTTTCTGCCGCTCTGTTCTGTCAAGCTTGTTTGTACTGAGGTACTCCGTACAGAGGTGAAGTAAACCAGAACTGAATTCCTACCAGACTTTTTCTAGCCGCCCTTTGACCCGCAGCCGTGCCTCAGGCAGGCAGCCCATGCGCCCAAGTAAATCAAGCCGCCCCATTTTGCAAACGTAAGCAAAACACCAACCACGATGCATAGCGAGTGTTGTTGCGCAATTTAGCTACAAGCATTAGGCCCAAGTTCCCCGGCACTGACTACATTCCCATCTTCCCCGTTCCCAGGCGATAGCCACATCGATAGCGTTAAAGACCCCTGGTCAATCGAGATGAAATTCGGAGCCGGCGGGTTGGGATATGATAGGAAACACTCGGTTATAGACGGGGGTAGATTGAGTTATATGGACCCCTCAGCTACCCCCTTGATGCTTGTAGTTCTGCACGGAACTTGAGGCGGGCCTAATTTATCGATTCGCTTATTTCTAGAGTACATGCAGATGCTACGGAACACGTGAGCACAGAGATTGTAACGGCTTGACCGAACATGGTTCTACAGCGGCATATGTGCCGTCAAGTCTGGCAGTTTTGGTAACTTCTTCCATGCCAGAAACAGCCCACAACTAGTCATTGTAAATTGGACTCCGCTGGCATTTGGTCGCGGCGGCCAAGCTGTTTCTTTCCATCTTTATAAAATTTCGACATGTCCGCCACAGGCTAGACTTGAGCCTCAAACAACTCACAGCTTCATCTTTTTTGCAAATACTCTCTGGCCGTTTCTTGAATTTTTTTCTTTCCAAAACTTGTAGTAACCTGTCTATTGCACGCAATTTCTCCTATGATGATATACCTTACCGCGCTCGCCGTCCTCTCCACCCTAGCTGCTGCCAACCCCCTTCTTCATCGCCAAGACCAGCAACAAGCGGACGATGCTCTGACCCTTCGGGCCAACTTGTGTCTTCATCTCGATAAGCCAGAGTGTAAAGGGGTGTTAGAAAAGTGCAAGGCCGAGGAGAATTATGTCGAAGACTGTATTCCGCAAGAGCACCCCACGTGTATGCAGGACGAATCCTCGCCTTGTTCAAAGGCTGTTGTGCAGTGTCTTGCCGACCATAGTGAGGAGGAAGAGGCCTTTAAAGACTGCATCTTGGAAAATGTGATGCCCGCGCCCGACACAGTGGACGATGCCGACAACGAGCAATCAGCTCCTAGTGGCTCCGGACAGGCTGAGCTTGCATGCGAATCGTTCAGTGTCGATTTCGAAGACGCTTGGGTGAACAATGAATGCGGTGGAACAACTGATGCTAGCGAGAGCAATGATGTGGCTCTGGAAAATGAGCCAGCGGCTTGCAAGGAGGCAAGAGATGCCTTTGATGAGGTCTGGGATGCAAATAACTGCGAGGCAGTACTAGATGCCGCCCTTGCCACCCCGCAAGGCGATTTAGATCCAGATGCCGTCTCTGTTGAGGGTAGTGATTAGGGACCACGACATGTTTGGATCATCTGGTGTATTGATGCAGGCACTCATTTTGGAGGCCTGGGTAGAAAATGGACACACTCCTAGGCATAGAGTTAAGACTATTATACCTAGAATAACTTTTAATTGACAATTATAGAGAAAAGTCTATACAAAGTTAGCGTTCCTGCAACGAATATAGACTTCTATGTCTTGGTTGTGAGCCACTTGTGAAAGGTATAAATATGCAATAGGAATATTAACAAAGTAAAGAAATGTATTTACACGCAATACTATCATTATCTGCAAGTTCTATTGACGTTCTCCATTCTTTTTTTTAAGTCGGTGCCAAGTCATGATGGGCTCCTTGTGTCCTCGCGGAATTATACCAAGACACGCCGTCCCCAAAGTCGAAAAACCGTATTGCCATGTTCAGCCGTAGATGTAGCACAAAATATTCTCAGTAGTGGACATGACTTGCTTAATTTTTACAAAGTCACCCGAGACATCTATGCGTAGGGTGTGATCGAGCGTCACATTCTCACTAGGCGGATCTGTACGAAGGTTAGCCAACGCAGGGAGCAGCCGGGAACTCGAACGTACAATTCTCAAAGGTGACCGTTCCACTGAGTGCATCTCGGCGATTTCGTGGATCCCTGCTCTGCCAGATCGCCCAGACCCGGTCCAACATGGCGTGGTGAAGAAAGAAGGCAGGATCTCCTGGAGATGTAAAAAGGTTGAGCTGCTCTGGACCATAGTAGAAATGGCCGCCGACATGGACACCGTCGTCACTCTCAACAACACGGTTAAAGGTTTCCATGTTGGGACTATTCAAGATGAGATTCGTCACATTCTCGTACGAGTTCTGCTGGGCTAGTATAGGCATGTAAAAGTCGCGCTTCAGGCAACGCGGGTTCTGTGTAAGCTTGGCAGGCGTAGTTGCGCCCTCGTTGCTAGCATCAAGGTACAGGGTGAGGTTCTCAAATGGCCCTGAGACGCAACCACCGCCTTCACCGGCAGCTCGCGTGAAGAATTGCACAGGAGGCGGGCCGCCGGGAACAGGCATTCGATATTCTCCGTGGGGAATGGGCGCGCCATTGCCTGAAAGTGAGGCGGCTGATCCATCAAATATTGTCGACTTTTGCGGATTCTCGATGTACTTGGGCCAGTCCCAATAGGGCAGGTAGCCTTTATAACCACATTCCTCTCGTAGAGCCGTCTCATAAAGATGAAGGAAGTAACGGTGCCACGGGAGGAGTAGACCCTTTTTCTGTAAGCTTGTGAAGCCAGTTGCCAGATTCCTTGGCATGTACGTACAGAAGCATGGATCTCAAGAGTTTGGTTCACGTGCGGGATAATAAACTCTTCGAGCCTGTTATGTGCCAGGCCGCCAGGCTTCTTCGGTTCCTTTGCATGCAGACACTGCACTGCTCGTACGTAATCCAGGCGTTGGGCTTCCGAGAGCGAATCCCTGGGACAGGTTAGCAAAATCAGCTGACGGGTGTGGTGACGCATTCTGCACACCATTCCTGTCGAACTGCAATGTTTTTGCTTGTGCAGCCGGTTCTTCGCAGACCTGACAAGACAGTCTGCACATAGTCGACCTTGAGTTTGACCATGACGCCGGCGGCATCATTGGTGACACCTGATCCTCCCTTATCGCCAAGCAATCGGCAATGAAGGCCGAGGATGGCACAAGCGGTCCGAAGAAGTGAAGGGATGAGCATACTTCTGATCAGAGAGCGACCTTTCTAAGTGTATAAGAAGGATTCAACTGTAATGTGTAATGGAAAGAAGTAGTGGCAGGTAGATGGATAGAGGATTACAATATCACTATATATACAACATCATGTATCACCACCAGATTTTACTAGCTCCCCTTCCAAGCTGAACACGGAACCAAGGCCACTGCATGTAGCCAATCAACTTCAATGTTGTACACTCTGCTCGGGTTTCCCGCTTTCTTGCCGATGCCCCAACTACGATAGGCTTGGGCTGCAGCCGGGCAGAAAATTCGCCACATGGCGCAAAAGAAATGAAGATGTCACTGCAATACAAATTGCCGCTATATCCGTGTCTGCACAATGATTCTGAGGTCCCGTTAGGGTCTCGGTTTACTCCGATGTGTGGGCTCTGACCCCGGACCTCGGCTCATGCAGCCACGCCTTGTTTGAATACCTCTTTGTGGTTCAGCTCGAGTGCATTTACCGAATGGCTACCTCCAAATTGTCCATTTGATACCAAGAAGAACGAAAATGTCAAGAGCATATACTCGTGCACAGGTTGAGACAAGCCAATTACAGAGCTGGTTAGATACCTGACGTAGCCTGTGATACCTCTCATTGTACAACCATTTTCGTCTGAAGTAGTAAGGGCTCTATCGATACATCTCTCTTTATCTGACCTAGTAAGCACCCTAGCCCGCCCCATGATCGAATCCTTCATACTCAACTGCCTCTTTCTTGGTGAATTTTTAATTGTGGCAAACATACCTACTAGCTAACACTGCCTCTTGGCTTCTGAGAAATATGTATTATTGGGGCCTTGATTTCTTGAATGGGATAATAGTGCATATAAACACTAATAGCAAGAGGAATTAATGCCCATATATTACTTCAATGGGACGTCTTACTATTTTTAACACAGAGTACAATATCGTGCCGCTGTGGGTCCGGCGCCGCCGGGCCTCTCCATCGTCTGCAATAAAGTTGTTTGATATTTCTTGCCATGTGCGTTAGGGCATTAGTAGCGGCTTCAAAAGTCCTTTCTACTTCTCCATTTAGATATTCCCCCGTCCGCATACACCGGAGTTGCGCATACACTGCCGCACGTCTTCGCCAAACCCGGGCCAGTAGGATCACCCGCCGAGCAGCGACTGCATCACATTTCTTTGGGGGTAAACCATCAGAGCTGAATCGCGGGTCTACTATAGTCCTTGCCATGAATAATCCGTATTGTGGAATCCAAATCCGATACGATCCAGCCACATGCAAATCGGCACTGTGACGTGGGATTGCATCATCACGTCGATTCCACGTTACATCCGCAATCCAGCCTACCCGACAGTATTGACTAGAGTTTTGGCCTGTTGATTGTTAACGCCGTCCTACGGACACGTCATGAAACATACCCTCTTCCTGCAGAACGTAGGTCCGTTTTGCGGCTCGCGCGGCTCGCTGGGCTCGAGTTTTGGTCATGGTGACGAACAGATGTTGGAAGGATGCTGGATGTATCCATGACTGTCGCACATGGAGAAGCGATGAGCGGCGTTGGTAGACCCGATGCGCTGCAATCCACAGTGACCAACCATTACGCGCGCGCCTCCTTGCGCACGTCAAGAGCTCGACGGCAAGATGATGGGTGAGGAGCGGCACCAGAGTCTCGTCACGCGAGGATGACTTTGGTCATGCCGAGCTCATAGGTGGCAGTCGGCCAGGAAGGGTCGTGGACAGAAGACTGACTGGATTGTGCAGAGGTGAGGATGCAGTAGCATCTCATTACGCGCCCGGCACCAGGAAGCGGAGATGGAGAGGAGAGGTCTGGTGAAATGTCTCATCGACGTTGAGCAAGTAACATTGATGTTTTGCGATCCACTCCCACCTGGGCACTCAAATATCGATATATGCATCAATGATCGCTGGTGTCAGGCCTAGAGATGGCGCAGCCGCGTAACGACCGCAGCATGCCAAGCTGAGAGCATCCCAACAACAAAGTTTCGCAGGAAATCAGCGTCAAGTCATCACAGGCTCAGTATCTCATATGGACATCATGGGCGGCGTCCCGGTTGGCGGTCCCAGACACCTTGCCAATCTCTTTAGCTGCCCAATAACTCGCGGGGCCTCTTTTGCCATATAATTTTCTTAGGTAACATTGAAGCTACATATGTAGTCTCCACGAGCCATTGGGCAGCTGAAGAGATCAATTGCACTGTGATAATTTAGTCTTGGTTATTATTAGCACAGGTCCTAACACCGCCAGTGAACCCAGCACCGACCCAACGGCGCAAGTGGACCGGAGTGTGATGTAATATTTAATAATTTTATAATTGGTTTTAAATAAATAAGAAAAAAAGTAAACCGTAAAAGTAACGCCTTGCCCGCGCAGGCAGACGGTCGAAAACGGCAGCCAATTTGCAGCAACCGACTCTATAGTTGAAGTGTCGATATTTTCTTCCCACTACACGCGTAAAAGTCATTGGCCTTATTTAACAGCCTCGGCGTGTGTCCATTTCTGTTTTAAATGTTTGTAGTTCGCCCAGTTCAACAGACGGCATAAAAGATTAGCATCTAATATCGACATTCTACAAATTTACTCTCTACACGTAACACATTTGATATTTGCCAATTTCATCGAGACGTTACTAGAGAACAGTTGCGAAACCGGGATAAATAGCCGGTACGTTGTTTATTTGAGACATTACAAATATCTTTTAGAAAATACTTGAACATTCTTTTCATTTTTGGCACTCATAACCGACCGTATACCGTTTTCCCCAGTCAAACCTTTAACCGCGCTTGGCAACATCCTCAAGCAGAGTCGTCGCAGCAAGCTTGCCCAATGCATTCGAGGCCAGGGGTGAATCGCCCGTAAGAAGAAACCTATCCCGGTGAACTTGCCCCGTGATGCCCTTGTTGAGGGGCGTAACACCGAGCTTCTTGAGCTCCTCGCCCACGAGCCACGGCATCTTGCCGGGGATGTAGCCAATGTCAATATTGGCGCCAGTGTCGAGCGAGTCGGGAAACACGACAATCTCGTACCCGTCGTAGATGTATTTGCTTCCATCGGGCTTGCCCACGTTGGCGGCCAGCATGCTCGCGGGACCGTGGCACAGGGTGAGATAGTAGCGCTGGCTGTCGTGCGCCCAGCGGATGATGTCGCCGACGAGTTTGGAAAAGGGCACGTCGTTGAGCACGCCGTGGCCGCCCGGGATGAAGATGCCCAGGTACGGCGTCTCGGTGGTGAAGCCGTCCTTGCCCCAGATGTCCTGGAGATTGAGCGGGCTGCGGATCTTGTCCTCGTACTTG